CTAAACCAGAGAGCCCTCCTCTGGTCCCAGTCACATAATGATCATCTCCATCTTCGCCCGCTAAACCAGACAGCCCTCCTCTGGTCCCAGTCATATAATGATCATCTCCATCTTCGCCCGCTAAACCAGAGAGCCCTCCTCTGGTCCCAGTCACATAATGATCATCTCCATCTTCGCCCGCTAAACCAGAGATCCCTCCCAAGGCCACTATTACGTAATGAAATTCTATAGCTAAATATTGTGAGTCTGTGTGATAATGGTTTCCTGTGACTAATTTTCTCTAATTGTTGGACTTGTCAACTGCCTTGTACTTGTTTTTGTTAACAGAAATAATATAGACGAAAAACTTTTTTTTTTTTTGGTAATTTGTGGATTTTTTTAGACCTGAGTGTGTCCTTGCAGGAGCCTGCTGTCAGGGTTGACCTCACTCCCTATGCAGAGCACTGGGTGCTCCGCTCCAATCGAGGCTGTCACGCTCAGGAATCGCTTGGAGGAGCCCAGAGTTTAAGCTTGGTAGTACTACGCTAACTGGGGATCTTCACACATTATAAGCACTGTGCAGAACGAATGTCCTTGTCGTTCTGTGTCTGATATTATCAGGCTTTATGGCATAATGGAGGTTCCTTTACTCTCAAGAACAGCTGCTTCCTTTCAAGGGCAGGAGATGGGAATCTCCACAAGGACCTGAAGAGCTGGGGACTTTTGTTGTGATATGGCACTCAGTGGATTAATTAAAGCCATTTGGCCAGAAATGCAGTGTGAGTGGTTCCCTGACTGAGCCACTTTCCAGCCGGCGGCTAATTTCTAACCTTGAAAGCCGAATTTTGTGGGGAAATTTTAATTGGCCACCAATTTCTTTGACGGATTGGCTGAGTGTTGAGGAACAATGAAAAGCCAAGTGTCCTATGTCCTCCTGGGCAGTGACCTCATGCTCATTGAAGCTGAGAGGGGTGTGTCCTGGGTCCTCTTGGGCAGTGACCTCATGCTCATTGAAGCTGAGAGGGGTGTG